AATACTTATTCTTCTCTAATTATGTATCTTCCTTTATATGGTAAATGATTTAATAGTTAGTACAAAAAAATATTATTATTGCATGATTTATAAGCTAAAATAAAATAATAAAAAACTCCGAAAAGGCGGATTTGAACCACCGACCTGGGGATAACTGATTTAACACTACAGTCCCTCGCTCTACCAACTGAGCTATTTTCGGATGTTAATCTAAATCAATCATATTCCTATGTAAATCCTTTCTATTAAAAAAGGAAATATAGGTTTTTTTATAATTAAAATAAAAATAAACTAAAAACTTCACTAGGCTATTTAGATTGTAAGTCAAACTACTTAAGCTCATCTTTCAGGAGTATGGCAGAGTAATAAATTCTAGATATATTCCTATTTTATCTATGGCTTTTCTTTGTAAAACAATGTATATCAATTAAATGAAGAAAGGAAAATAATTAATTTTGAGAATCTAATTAATTCCCTATATTATGAATTAATAATAAAGAGGAGCTTCACCTTACAAAAGTGAAATCTTCGTAATATTGATTATTCAAAGCATCCTAGTCTACACATTTAAATTAATACAAATATAAAAAAAAACACAAATTTATATTATCTGTTTTATTTTCCTATAATTTGGGCTAATTTTGCTTAAATAAATTAGTACTCAATAATTGAAATTTACTATTTTATAGCTGCCAGATTGAAGCAAATTTTTTTATGCTAAAAAAAAATAGGTCTTATTTTTAAATCTGATTTTTAAAGAGACATTTCAACATTGAGATAAACCCATTCCTATTGATAGACATAATTATATTACATATTTAAGTAAAACAATTTTAAAATTATTTTCTCTTTTATTCTTATAATTACTTTACATAAATATTTGTTTAAGACTTTAAATCGCAACTCTGAAATCTGATAATGTATGGATAAACTAAATTTCTTCATTTAGATGAATGAATTGCTAACTTCTAAATTGAAGAAAATTGTATACTGAAACTCAAAGTTTAATAACAAAATTTTTGGGTTCCAACTTCACTTCAAAATATAGATGAGGAAATTAAAAAAGATTTTCAAATAATCTTTATAATTTACGATAACTATCTTTTAATAAAAATAAAACAATTTCTTTTTGTATTAAATTAAAAAAAAATGAGAATGCTATCCAGGCGTTTCATAAATGATTGCTTATTAAAGACAAAAAAGCAATTAAAAAAAGTTCTCTAAGCATAGGTCTTGGTGGATGATATAAGTGATATTTTAATAATTTCTGAAATTTAATTTGATCATATCTTTGAAGAAAACATAAGTAATTTAATTCTGCTATGCTTCTAAAAATAATTTAAGAGGTTTGGAGCCTTTAGGTTAAAGATGTAGTTTTTATTCCAAATAATTAAATAAAATAGATATTGAAATTGATGTGCAAAAATGTAATTAATGTTTAT